TCTGAGGTCTGACCCTGTCTGATATGACAATCGCCACTCTGTTTTGGCAGTAATTTCTAATACTGTCTTATTCCCTGTGCCTTTTTATTTCATTATTATTTTTTTAATTTTCCTGGTTTCCTTGGTATCTTCTAAACCTGTGCCTTTTTTGTAGCATCCTGTGCTCTTCTTTTTAATGGCTTGTCTGACTTTCTCTAAGGATACATATTTTCACTTTTTAAATATCAGCTTTAGGCTGGGCACAGTGGCTCACACCTGCAATCCCAACACTTTGGGAGGCCAAGGTGGGTGGATCATTTGAGGTCAGGAGTTCGAGACCAGCCTGGCTAACATGGCAAATCCTTGTCTCTACTAAAAATACAAAAATTAGTCAAGCGTGGTGTTGCACGCCTCTAATTCCAGCTACTGGGGAGGCCAAGGCAGGAGAATTGCTTGAACCTGGAAGGAGGAGGTTGCAGTCAGCTGAGATCGCACCACTATACTCCAGCCTGGGCGACAGAGCATGACTCTGTCTCAGAAAAAAAAATCAGCTTTGAGGCATTATTTACTTAACTAAAATTCAATAATTGTAAATATAAAATCTAATGACTTATGACAAATGTATACAGTCATGTAACTGTCAGGCCTCTGAGCCCAAGCCTGCATGTATACATCCAGATAGCCTGAAGCAACTGAAGAATCACAAAAGTAGTGAAAATGGTCAGTTCCTGCCTTAACTGATGACATTACCTTGTGAAATTCCTTCTCCTGGTTCAGAAGCTCCTTCACTGAGCACCTCGTGATCCCTGCCCCTGCCTGCAAGAGAACAATCCCCTTTGACTATAATTTTCCACTACCCACCCAAATCCCATAAAACTGCCCCACCCCTATCTCCTTTTGCTGACTCCTTTTTCAGACTCAGCCCTCCTGCACCCAGGTGATTAAAAAGCTTTATTGCTCACACAAAGCCTGTTGGTGGTCTCTTCACATGGATGCGTGTGATATTTGGTGCCGTGACTCAGATCGGGGGACCTCCCTTGGGAGATCAATCCCCTGTCCTCCTGCTCTTTCCTCCATGAGAAAAATCCACCTACAACCTCCGGTCCTCAGACCAGCCCAAGAAACACCTCACCAATTTTAAATCGGGTAAGCGGCCTCTTTTTACTCTCTTCTCCAATCTCTCTCATTATCCCTCAACCTCATTCTCCTTTCAATTTCAGCGCTACCCTTCAATCTCTCCCTTCCCTTAATTTCAGTTCCTTTCCTTTTCCGGTAGAGACAGAGACACATTTTATCCATGAACCAAAAACGCCGGTGCCGGTCACGGACTCAGGAAGACAGTCTTCCCTTGGTGTTTAATCACTGCAGGGATGCCTGCCTGATTATTCACCCACATTCTAGAGGTGTCTGATCACCACAGGGATGCCTGCCTTGATCCTTTACCTTGGTGGCAAGCACCACCCTCGCCCCCGGGTGGCAAGTACCACCTCCCCATGGGTGGCAAGTACCCGCCCCTACCTCCATGTCTCTACCCTCTCTTTTCTCTGGGCTTGCTTCCTTCACTGTGGGCAGCCTTCCACCCTCCATTCCCTCTTCTTCTCCCTTAGCCTGTGTTCTCAAAAACGTAAAACCTCTTCAACTCTCGCCTGACCTAAAACCTAAACATCTTATTTTCTTCTGCAACACTGCTTGGCCCCAATACAAACTCAATAATGGTTCTAAATAGCCAGAAAACGGCACTTTCAATTTCTCCATCCTACAAGATCTAGATAATTTTTGTCATAAAATGGGCAAATGGTCTGAGGTGCCTGATGTCCAGGCATTCTTTTATACATTGGTCCCTCCCTAGTCTCTGCTCCCAATGTGACTCGTCCCAAATCTTTCTCCTTTCTCTTCTGTCTGTTCCTTCAGTCTCCACCTCAAGCTCTAAGTCCTTTGAATCCTCCTTTTCTATGGACCTATCTGACCTCTACCCTCCTCTCCCCTCCTCCCCAGGCTGCTCCTTGCCAGGCTGAGCCAGGTCCCAATTCTTCCTCACCCTCCACTCCCCAACACTGTAATCCTTCTATCATCTCCCCTCTTCACACCCGGTCTGGCTTATAAGGGGAAGGTAGCCAAAGATGGAGTGAAATGCAGGGCAAATGTCTTAAAGGAAATGAGAGGTTCTACGAGGCTGGCTAGTGGCTTGTAACCCACATGGAAGAGGATATGAAAGGAAGACAGAATGGAATGAGACTGTAAGGCTGAAAGGAGGTATTTCCTTGGTCTAAGAACCATTTGCCTTGAGTGGGGAGGGATTGATAGGTGGAAACTTCAGTGGGAAAGTAAGTAGGAGTGACTGATGAGGAGGAGAAAAACTTGCCATGGGGGACAGAAGTAGGAATAGTGGCTGCTGCTTTTTCTGTCTTATCAACATAATTGTTGCCTTAAGCAATGGAGTGTGAGGCCTTTTGATGGCCTTTGCAGTGAATGACTCTAGCTTCCTTTGGAAGTAAAGCAGCCTTGAGAAGAGTTTTTATTAAAGAGGCATTAATGATGGAGGACCCCTGTGTAGTGAGGAAACCTCTTTCAGCCTATATAACAGCATGGTGGTGCAGCTATTTCCGACTTGGGGCTATATGAATAAAGTCACTATAAATATTTGCATACACTTCTTTGTGTGGAGTGGACTCACTGGGTCATGTGGTATGTTTGTTTAAGAAGCTGCCAAACTGTTTTCCAAAGTGTTGCACCATTCTGCATTCCCACCAGCAGTGTAGGAGAGTTCCAGCTGCTCACATCCTCCACCACACCAAACCTGGCATTCACTATGAGGAATACAGCTACTTATATGCTTTAGCTTTTTCAAAGTTGTCTTGTGTTTTCTGATTTCCTCTGGGATCAGTTGATCTGCTTATTTATATTGGGCCATCTCTTTTATGCTGCTAGTTTATCTCAAATATCTGGTGAGCTTTGGTTGTCCATATTTAGGAATAAAGAACTAGGTAGCTTAACTGCAGTAGCTGGTATAAGCCTTACCCCTCCCCCACCTCTCTACCATTCTATGCTCTGTTATGGATGTGTTCATTTCTATACATCTCGAATGTCGTTTCAGTGGGATTTGGCAAGGGAGAAAAGGAGGTAAATGTATAAGTTCAATTCACCATCTTGAACTAAACTTTCTGCATCCTTTTAATAATTACTTAGTATTTGTTTGCCTTTGGAGTCGTGGTGCCTGGCAAAGACAGGTAATCAAATATGTTGAATGTAGGATTATTTCATCATATAAGTATATCAGAACTGAAGTCAACCCCATATTAAATACATCAGAACTTAACTCCAATTGCTCCACGTTTACAGTGTTTCCAGTTTTCTGCTTATTGCTAATTTTGCTATTATATAAATTTAGAGGAAGATGAGAGAGACAATAGCAGCATCAGAGAGGAGAGAGCAGAGAGCAATGGCACATAAGAAAAGAGAGATGATGGAGATGAGTAGCGGAGATGGAGACAGAGGTGATGGTGATGGTGGGGAAAAGGGAGATGATGGAGTTGGAGATAGAGATGGTATAACTAGAGTTAGACCTGTGCCAGCTGGGCATGCTGGCTCATGCCTGTAATCTCAGCACTTTGGGAGGCCGAGGCAGGTGGATCACGAGGTCAAGAGATTGAGACCATTCTGGCCAACATGGTGAAACCCCAGCTCTACAAAAAACAAAAAATTAGCTGGGCGTGGTGGCGTGTGGCTGTAGTCCCAGCTACTCGGGAGGCTGAGGTAGGAGAATCACTTGAACCTGCAAGGTGGAGGTTGCAGTGAGCCAAGATCGCACCACTACACTCCAGCCTGGCAACACAGGAAGACTCTGTCTCAAAAAAAAAAAGAGGAGACTGTGCCTAACTGAACAGAAGCTTCCATAAGAGGGAACATTAGAGCATTAGAGGTGTCATTGCTGGCCAAGGGGTGTACGTTGTCAAAGCTATTACACCCCAGAAGGTTACACATGGGCTGTGTCTTGAGAGGGACCTATTCCCTCATCTCCAAATCCGTTCTCAGGGAGTTCACACCGTGGACCAAGGAAGAGGACCCGAGACAGGTTCATGCACACGTTAGGTGTCTAACGACTGGGGCAGCTGTTTTGCTTGATGCCTCAGGCCACACGGGGCTTGGGCAAGTGGCCTAACCTCCCTAAACTACTACAGCCTCTGCTCGGGACACCCACTCTCAGTCACCTCACAGAAGACTGGTCTTTGTCCTGGATGACTTCTCCAACTGGGGCTTCAGGTCGGAGGCTGCTCCCAGCTCTGGCTTGGCTGTTCTCCAGCCTCTGCAAACCAAGGTTTGCAAAAAAAAAAAAAAAAAAAAAAACAGAGGGAAGGCAGGAGGATGTGTCAACCCCCAGACTACAAGAGAGATGGTAAACATGTGGGCAAGCAACATGTTACTGTGGCTTCAAACTCTTCCTCAGCCTCTCTCCTCTGCCCTCTGCTGGAGTCTGCATGGAGGGTAACAGTCAGTGTGCTTAGTTCCAATTCTGGTTGTTCCACTCACTGCCTGTGTGATCTGGACAAGTCACGTGACCCCTCTCAGCCTCTGTTTCTTCATCTGTAAAATGGGCATCATGGCACTACCTCCCTCATGGAGTTGTTGTGAGGATGAAAGGTGAGAATTATGTAAAGCACCTGAACCTGGGGATGGGACAGAGTAAGTGCTCAGGCAATGGCCGCTGTTGTTACTGGTGAGAGTGTGGGTTGAGGGGGTCGTGGTGAAGGTGGGGAGCTGTGCTAGGCAGATGGGAGGCCCCAGGGGGGTTAATAAAGGGACATTTGAGATCTTCAATCATTTTTCTCCTTATATTCTATTTCCTACCGCGCCCTCTTGGCAACTCCCACCCACACCACCTGCTGTTGCTACCAGCACCCACTTACCAGTGCCAATAACGGGATTCATACTCTTCAGAAGTACCTTCATTTCCCTTTAAGCCTTCCCATCAGAGCACAAAATGCTTCGGGGACCCAGAGCCAGCCCCCATTGACTGCCCTGTAGGGGCCCCATAAGCCCAGCCTGGCGCCATCAGGAAAGGATTATGGAGAGGAGTACCGGATGGAACAGCCCCAGGGGACAGGTGCAGCATAAGGTTGCTTTACCCAGCCCAGGGCCGAAATCTGCACGAACCACAGACGCCCACTATCCCCTTATACCATCCTGGCCCCTGCCCCAGAGTACCTTGGCTTCTGCAAACCGAAGGAGAGACTTGTCCCTGACGCCCCGCGGGGACCAGGGGTGGAAGTGCATCAGCTGGAGCGAGACACACTCAGCTACCTCCCGGTGGGCGTGTGCAGGATCCCAGGGCTAAACCAGCAAACCTGTAGTGGCCATTGGGGTTGGCACCTACTGAGCCTGGGGCTGTGGGCAGAATCACACTAGCTGAGGTGTGACGCTCTCTGCTGCTGCCTTGTAGCCTGGGCAGGATGACACTGCCTCTGGTCTCCAACAGGGTGGAGAGTGACTGATTATGGCTCCAAAGCTCATTCAGCCTGCTGGACAAAGCAGGATCACCCGAAGGGGGTGAAACCTGCTTCTGCTTGGTTTCGTTCGTTCGTTTGTTTTGAGACAGAGTATCGCTCTGTCGCCCAGGCTGGAATGCAGTGGCGTGATCTCGGCTCACTGCAACGTCCGCCTCCATGATGCAAGCAATCCTCCTGCCTCAGCCCACCGAGTAGCTGGGATTACAGGTGTGCACCACAACGCCCAGCTAATTTTTTGTATTTTTAGTAGAGACGGGTTTCACCATGTTGGCCAGGCTGGTCTCAAACTCCTGACCTCAGGTGATCCGCCTGCCTCGGCCTCCCAAAGTGCTGGGATTCCAGGCGTGAGCCTCCGCGCCCGGTTTTCTGCTCCGTCTCTGGCTGCTTCTGCTCCTCTTTCCTCTGTCCCTTCCAGACCACACTCCCGGAGGGAGCACAGATCATGGCCCTCAGACTCCATTTCCCAACATGCTGCTGTGACAAGCACTCATGGCCTCTGGAAGGGGAACCCGGCTCGCCCTCAAGGACACTGGGGGCGGTGGCATGGGCCCTGCAGCCTCACATGGGACCCTGTGTTAGGGGAGACGCCCAGTAGGGTCTGGTCTGGCTTCCTCTGCTGTAGCTGAGTCACGGCCTCAGTCCTGCTGTCCTGACCACCCACGAGATGATGGGTCTCGGTCCCTGGCTCATTAGGATTCTGTCGATGTCCCAGAGGCCCCGCTGTTGGAACACCTGCTATGCACGGGCTCTCACTGGGAGACCGAGGCACACCTTGCTTAACACCAGATGAAATGACCAAGACCCTCCTTGGTCTTCGGGAAGCAATTCTAGGAGAAAAGGACTTAGGACAGGTCAATCACTGAGCAGTGAGACAGGAAAGGCTCTGCGGGCTTGCACAGAAGGGATCGTTGTGCCCGAAGCACCCGCAGGGGCTTCCCAGAGAAGGCTTCGAGCTCAGCTTTGATGACAGAAGAGCAGGCCAGGAGACAAGAGAGGCACCCAAAGGAAGACAACAGCACATATGAGGTGTGACACAGCAGGTGCTCTGTACAGTTTCTGGAAAACTTGAGACTCCTCCTCCCAGCCTCCCTGGTGACTTCCTCTGCATTGGCCGGACTGAGGCACTGCTGAGATGGTGCCACGAATAGCTGGCCAGGAGATAACAGGATGATGGTAGCCATTGGTGGACTCTGGTCATCAGGAAATTGAGGCCCAATTGTTGCCTTAGCAACTATGGCTAAGGCAGGTAAAGGCTGGGGTTGAAATTACAAATTCGTCTGACATGCTGAAAGGAAGGGCCAGCGACACAAGGGTAGGGTCCTCCTTATCTTTGAGGCCCCGCCCCTCAGAGCTGAGGCAAAGATGGAGCCTTTTTCTTAGTTACAGACATCACACACTAGGCCATGGACAGTGGTTGTGCCTTCCTGATCACTCAGGAAAAGGAATGCCAAGCTTGGGTCTAGGGGTGGTGGCATGGGAGGAGTATTGAAACAGGCACTTGGAGAACCTGTGCCTGCCCTCGCGGAACATCATTTATTCACTCTTTCAGCATCTGACTACCTACCCTGTGTCAGGCAGTTGTAGACACTGGTGATATGGTGGCGGCAAAGAATATAGCACCTGCTCTAATGAGAATTAGCTTCTGAAGAGAGGCAGACAATAAGAAGTAAAGAAACAAACAAAAGAAGAAGTAAACAAATAGCTCACACCTGTCAGCCCAGTACTTTGGGAGTTTTTAAAAAATTAGCCAGGTCTGGCCTGGTGTGTTGGCTCATGCCTATAATCCCAGCACTTTGGGAGGCCAAAGTGGGCAGATCACCTGAGATCAGGAGTTTGAGACCAGCCTAGCCAACATGGTGAAACCCTATCTCTACTAAAAATACAAAAACTAGCTGGGTGTGGTGGTGTACATCTGTAATCCCAGCTACTTGGGAGGCTGAGGCAGGAAAATCGCTTGAACCCAGGAGGTAGAGACTACAGTGAGCCGAGATCGTGCCACTGCACTCCAGCCTGGGCATCAGAGTGAGACTCCATCTCAAAAAAATATACATATATATATATAAAAAATACACACACACACACACATATATATGTATAGGCTGGGCATGGTAGTTTATACCTGTAATCCCAGCATTTTAGGAGGCCGAGGCGGGCTGATCACCTGAGGTCGGGAGTTCAAGACCAGCCTCACCAACATGGAGAAACCCCGTCTCTACTAAAAGTACAAAAAATTAGCTGGGCGTGGTGGTGCACACCTGTAATCCCAGCTACTCGGGAGGCTGAGGCAGAAGAATCGCTTGAACCCAGGAGGCAGAGGTTGTGGTGAGCCAAGATCGTGCCATTGCACTCCAGCCTGGGCAACAAGAGTGAAACTCTGTCTCAGAAAAAAAAAAAAAAAAAAAATTAGCCAGTTGTGGTGGTGCAGACCTGTAATCCCAGATACTCAGAAGGCTGAGGCAGGAGGACTGCTTGAGCTCAGAAGTCCAAGGTTGCAGTGAGCTATATGAGTGGCGTGCCACTGCACTCCAGCGTGGGTGACAGAGCAAGACACTGTGTCTAAATTAAGAAAAAAATAAATAAATAAACCAATCGATGTGAACTTATTCGGAAGTGGAAAATGCTAAAAGGAAATAAAAAGTCACCATGGGAGCGGCAAGGGCTGTCACTGTACAGGGTACTAAGTGAGGGCCCCTCCTGAGACATATGCTCAGACATCATGCATGAGAAGCAGCCAGCCTTGCTGAGTGCTGCTGGTCACAGCCCCGCAAGTGCAAAGGTGGTGTGGCAGGACGGAGGCTGGTGTGACTCCTGAAGCCATTAAGAGGCAGTGTGGCTCTGAGCAAAAGGAGAGGCAGGGAGCTCCAGCATGTGCTTGTGGAAGGAAGTAGCTGTCTTGTGGCCTTTCCTATGGCTCATTTATTTTCTTTCCTTTTTTTTTTTTTCTTGAGATAGTCTCACTTTGTCTCCTAGTAAGCTCTCAACTCACTGCAACCTCTGCCTCCCGGGTTCAAGTGATTGTCCCACCTCAGCCTCCTGAGTAGCTGGGATTACAGGTGTGTGCCACCACGCCCAGCTATTTTTTTTAATTTTTAGTAGAGATGGGTTTTCACCATGTTGGCCAGGCTGGTCTAAAACTCCTGACCTCAGGTGATACACTTGCCTCAGCCTTCCAAAGTGCTGGAATTACAGGCGTGAGCCACTGCACCCGGCCTTAGCTCATTTTCTCCATAGAACCATTTCCTCTGAGTCAGCGATTCTCAAACTTTACAGCCTATCAACTAGAAGGATTGTCAAAACAGAGGCTGCTAAGCCCTGACCTCAGAATTTGTTTTATAGGTGTGGAGGGGGACCCCAGAATTTGCTTTTCTCTTTTAAGGGGGATTCCACTTTGAGAACCACCACATTATTAAGGGGACAGGACACTGATTGCTTATGACAGCTGAGGGGCAAGACAAAGGAGAATCACTTTTTTTTTTTTTGTGTGGAGAGTGGAGTCTTGCTTTGGTTGCCCCAGGCTGGGAGCGCATGTGGGGTGCGATCTTGGGGGCTCACTGGCAACTGTGGCTGCCTTCCAGCGTTTCAAGGCAATTCTCCTGCCTCAGCTCCCTGGAGTGACGGCTGCGGGATTACGCAGGGTGCGTGCCACGTAACGCCCAGCTAAGTTTTTGTTGATTTTTGAGGTAGAGGTGGCGGCTCGAACCATGATTGGTTCAGGCGGCTGCGGTCTCGAACTCGCGGACCTTGTGATCCGCCCGGGCAACTCGGTGTGGCCTCTCAAGGGCCTGGTGATTTGACAGGGTTGTGAGGGCCACCCGATGACCAGGGGAGAATCTTTTAAGCAGTGTGTCTGTGGCTGTCCAAGGACACGCACAACAGCCAGCTAGGGCAAGCCAGGGCCATGACCCTTTTCTGGCTGCTGTTGGCGGAGGGTGAGGGACGGTGGGCACGTGCTCGCGAGCGTGCTCCTGTATCGCGCAATGGTAGCTCATATTGGCGGGCTGGTGGGGAAAGGAGGACAGCCTGGGAGGCGGGCCGGGAGCCTTCCTTTTGGGGGCTCTTGCTCCGTATCCTTCCTTCTTGGCCACCTCAGGGCTCCTAACAAAAGAGGCCCAGACAGAGGGCCAAGGTTTGCCCATTCTGGCTCCTGGTCCAGGGGAGTATGAAACGGTTGTGGCGCGCGTGGCGCCGCTGTGTGCGCGCCGTAAGAGTGTGGCCTATCGCATCCCAGTCTAGTGTGTGGGGCGTGTGGAGTTGGCTGCGTTGTGGCTGCGGCGGCTCGCAGAGGGGTTAACAAGATTTCTGTCTGACGGCCGGGGCGCGGTGGCTCAAGGCCTGTCTAATCCAGCCACTTTGGGAGGGGCCGAGACGGGTGGATCACGAGGTCAGGAGATCGAGACCATCCGTGGCTAACACGGTGAAAACCCCGTCTGCTTACTAAAAATAACAAAAACTAGCGGGCAGATGTGGCGATGTGCCTGTAGTCCCAGCTACGTCGGGAGGCGGAGGCATGGAGGCAATGGCGTGAACCCGGGAGGGCGGAGGCTTGGCAGGAGCTGCAGACCGGCCACTGCGCACTCGCAGCTCTGGGCCACAGAGCGTGAGACTCGTCTTGAAGAAAAAAAGGAAAAAAAAAAATTTCTCTGACAAGAAACTTCTCTCTAGTCACTCGAGCCCAATTCCTCTCCTCAGGAGACGGGATCCAGGACTCTCAGGCATGGGAGGAGTACATCAGCAACACTGGGAACATTTCCTGATCACGGATTCAATCCTGAAACCACCAAGGTCGTGAGTCTAGAGTGAGGCCAGGTATCCCCCCAGTGATCCAAAAAGCACTCTGAATGCAGCTTTCCTGAGAGCTGACAGGTCTGGGATACATCTGCCAGCCTCACAGCCAGCTGGATCCTAGATTCCTGGTATCCATTCACTTCCATCTGGTTTTCTAATCCCGCTGTGGTCCGCAGAATACCACCCCCCAAAGATATCCATGTCCTAATCCCCGGAACTTCGGAATATGTTAGGTTACATGACAAAAGGGAATAAAACTGCAAATAGAATTAAGGTTGCTAATCAGCTGGCCTTAAAGATTCTCCTCAATTAGCTGGGTGAACCCCGTGTTAACCATGAGGGTCCTTAAAAGTGGAAGAGGGCAGAGGAGAGAGAACCATACAGAGGGCAGCAATGGACTGACTCTGGCTGAAGTTGCTACTTTGAAGTTGGAAGAAGGGGCTGCGAGTCAAGGATGCAGGAAGCCTCTGGAAGTTGGAAAAGGCAAGAAAAGATTCTCCCCTGGAACCTCCAGAAGGAATGCAGCACTGTCGACACCTTGATTTTAGCCCAGTGAGACCTGTCAGGCCGCTGAGCCGAAGCTAAGCCATCATATCCCCTGTGACCTGCACGTACACATTCAGATGGCCGGTTCCTGCCGTACCTGATGACATTCCACCACAAAAGAAGTGAAAATGGCCTGTTCCTGCCTTAACTGATGACATTACCTTGTGAAATTCCTTTTCCTAGCTCAAAAGCTTCCCCACTGAGCACCTTGCGAACCCCCATCCCTGCCCGCCAGAGAACAATCCCCTTTGTAATTTTCCACTACCTATCCAATTCCTGTAAAACGGCCTCACCCCTATCTCACTCTCTTTTGGGACTCAGCCCGCCTGCACCAAGGTGATTAAAAAGCTTTATTGCTCACACAAAGCCTGTCTGGTGGTCTCTTCACACGGACGTGCATGACAAGACCCACTTCAGACTTCTTACAAAACTGTAAGCCCCAAACTACAGCTGCCCAAGGTAGAGAAGCGCTAGCTCAAAGACATTTGTGACTGTGGCTTGTCCGATGGAGCGAATCCCAGTAAGATTCATAGGAAGACCCACAAAATTAAGAAACTTACACTGGCAAAAATGCCTACAGCTGTGATTGAAAGGGACAGAGACAACCACAAAATGAAAAGGGGCCTTAGAATTCCCATACTCACTTCTTTCCTCGGTAACCCAGTCCCCTCCCCTTAAGGACAAAATGCCTATAAAAAGGAATTGATCGGAAAATTGCTTGAGAAGTGATTTCCAATGGGCTCGAGGGAAAGCCCATTGAAACATCCCCAGCCTACAACAGGGAAGCCCTTAAGGGACACAGTATTCAGGAACCTCCTCCCGCGAAAGCGCTGATCAAACACTGCCCCTGAAATGACTGAAGCGGTTCCGCCGGCCCATAGGTTTTCATACTTGGAGGGCCCCAGGCCACCCACCCACGGCTGTCCTGTTCAGACTGAGGGACATCTCGTTTCCTTTAGTCTTCCCAAACTTTTAGTACGGCTCAAGAGGACCCTGAGGGTGGCTGGGGACTGCCCTGAATGGAAGGCCAAGCAGGGACAGGCGTACCGCGCGCAGCGAACCGCGGAGGGGAAACCTGGTGCCTAGAGCCAGCGAAGATAGGAGCCTGCGTAAACCCAGCGTTCCCAGGATCCCTCGCGGCTAAGTCGCTGCCTGTCTCCAAAGCTCGGTACCGTTGGATTCTGCTGGACTTTAAAGACTTATGCAACAAAAAAGCACGACGGATAATATATTCTGGGAGCAAGCACAGGCGGAAGCGTCTCTGGGAAGTACAATCCCTGAGCGCGTGTGTATCACAAACCTGGCGACAGGAATGAAAGACTGGCCAGAAACAGAGCCCCGCGGCGACTTCTGGGAAATGGAATCCGGCAAGGCCGCTGCTGGGCGTGTGAGCATGACCGGAAGTGACGCCACTCAGGCGCGTCCCTCTGGCGCCGTAGCCGGGACCTGGTGTTGGGCAGTACCTGCACAGTGGTTCTTGAGCTCTAGCGGTTGCCGGTCGATTGTTGCCAGTTGCCAGTTGCCAGTCGTTTTCGGAAAGCCGGCAGCGGCTTTTTCACCGGGTTCTGCTTGAGGCCGAGCCAAAGAGTGGCTGTGACTCGGGAGACGGAGTGGAACACCCAGCTGGGCAGGCCCAGTCCTATCTCCCGCGACCCAGCACCGCAGGATCAAACCGTGCCTCTACGGGGAGTGGCTGGAGAGGAAGAGTCCCGCCTGGGAGCCGTCGGAGCAGCCCTGCAGAACGGGGTGGGGGCTGCTATACATAGACCCTGACGCCCAGAGAACTGCTGGGAGGCTGTGGCGCGAGGTGGAACTCAAATGCTGGAGGAAGGAGGTGAGGAGTGGTAGAGGAGCGATCGTCAAGAGATCCGCTGCTGCTTCGTTTGCCCACGACTGCCGCTGTGTGAGCCGGATCAGAACTCTTTTTATCTCTCTTACAGGTAGTTGGAGACAATCCTTTTTTCTTTCTTTGCCCGTGACACAGCCCCAGGAGATCCTGAGAACATGTGCCCCTACAATCCTTTTTTGAGTAAAGAATTCGGGGGTCAAAAAAGTTTGAGGACCTCATACCTGCGTGATTTCTGAGTATTGTACCACGTACCCCAGTCTGCCTGATGGACCAATGACAGTGGAGAGTAGGGAGAAGTGGGTTCCTGAGGACTCCTTTGTCGCTTTTCTTCTTCTAGCCCTTCTCGAAGCAGCCAGGGATGCCTGGAAGCCCGGGAAAGTTTGAGGGCAGGCCAGCCCAGTAGGATTGTGAAGTTGTGGAGGATGGGGGAATTTGCAGTTAGAAGGCAGAGGTTCTTGTGAAAGCTGTGAGGTACCAGCCAGGTCTCTTAACCCGTATTTCTCCATGGAAGAAAGGACAAAATAACGTTAACTACTTTGTTTACCTCTGAGAATTGTGATCCTCAAATGAAATAACACTTTTGAAAGCACCCTGAATGTGGTACAGAACAAATGTGTAAGCAGGCAACCTCTTTTAAGTCTTAACCACCAACACCTGTGCTGTTGTTCACCCCCTAGATCAACTGTATTTAGTCTGTTACTCTACAACTGCAATTTTACATCCAGAATTTGGTGCCGTCTCCAAGATCAAGAGGTCCTTATATTTGTTTTTGATTTATTTTGTTTTGTTTTTGGGACGGAGTCTCGCTCTGTCGCTGAGGCTGGAGTGCAGTGGCACAATCTTGGCTGACTACAACCTCCGCCTCCCAGGTTCAAGCGATTCTCCTGCCTCAGCCTCCTGAGTAGATGGGACTCCAGGTGCCCGACACCACGTCCGGCTAATTTTTGTATTTTTAGTAGAGATGGGGTTTCACCATGTTGGCCAAGCTGGTCTCAAACTCCCGACCTCAAGTGATCCACTGGCTTCGGCCTCCCAAAGTGCTGGGATTACAGGCGTGAGCCTCTGCTCCTGGCCAAGAGGTCCTTATATTTAGTCTTGCACTTGAGGAGTAGAGAGTGCGATTTCACATCCAGCATTTTGTTTTATCTTCCCCAGAGACCTGAGAAAGCAGAGCAGATGGTCATCATCTTCCCCATACTACAAAAAAGGAAAGGAAGTGCTGTCAGGTTAGATAACTCTCAGTAACAAAAGGTCTGTCCTAAGATCAGAATCCAGATCTATTTATTTGTTTTATTCAGTTTTATCATTCACATTTATCATTTATTTGTTTTATCATTCACATACCGTAATATTCATCCTTTTAAAGTGAACAATTCGGTGATTTTTAGTATTTTCACAGTCCTGCAACCATCACTATTTAATTCCAGAACATTTTTGTTAACTGAAGAAGAAACCCTGTAGTCTTTAGCAGTCACTCCCCAGTCCCTCATTTCTCCACAAGTTCCTGGCAACCACTAATCTACTTTCTGTCATTATGGATTTGCCTAGGACATTTTAAATAAGTGGACTCATAATATGTGACCTTTTTTTGGTTTTTGTTTTTTTGTTTTTTGTTTTTTGTTTTTTGAGACGGAGTTTTGCTCTTGTTGCCCAGGCTGGAGTGCAATGGTGCAGTCTTGGCTCACTGCAGCCTCCGCCTGCCAGGTTCAAGTGATTCTCCTGCCTCAGCCTCCCGAGTAGTTGGATTACAGGCACCTGCCACCACACCCAGCTAATTTTTGTATTTTTAGTAGAGACAGGATTTCACTATGTTGGCCAGGCTGGTCTTGAACTCCTGACCTCAGGTGATTCACTTGCCTCGGCCTTCCAAAGTGCTGGGATTACAGGCGTGAGCCACTGCACCCCGCCAATATGTGACCTTTTGTGTCTCGCTTAGCACATCATTTTCAAGGTTCATCCAGGTTATACCATGTGTCAGTACTTCATCCCTTTTCATGGTAGAATAATACTCCATTGTACGGAAGGATCACATTTTGTGTATCCATTCTTCAGTGAAGTTTTGTGTGTGTATGTTTTATTTCTCTTGGGCATATACCTAGAAGTGGAATTACTGTGTCATACAACCCTGTTTAACTTTCATAGGAACTGCTGAACTTTTTCCACTGTGGCAGCATCATTTTCTATTCTCAGCAGTGTATGAGGTTTCCAGTTTCCTCACATCCTCATCAACACTTGTTATTCTCCATCTTGTTTATTATAGTCATGTTAGTAGGTGTGATGTGTTCTCTCATTGTGGTTTTCATTTGCTTTTCCCCAACGATAAATGATGTTCAGTTTCATGTGTGGAGTGGCTATTTGTATCTCTTGCTTGGAGAAATAGCTATTCAAATCTTTTGCCCATTTAAGAATTTAGTAGGGCCAGACACAGTGGCTCACACCTGTAATCCTAGCACTTTGGGAGGCCTAGGCAAGCAGATCACTTAAGGTCAGGAGTTCAAGACCAGCCTGGCCAACATGGTGAAACCCCATCTACTTAAAAAAATAATAATAATAATTAGCCAGGTGTGGTGGTGCGTGCCTGTAATCCCAGCTACTCGGGAGGCTGAGGTAGGAGAATCGCTTGAACTCGGCAGTTGGAGGTTGCAGTGAGCCGAGATTGTGCCATTGCACTCCAGCCTGGGCAACAAGAGGGAAACTCCATCTCAAAAAAAAAAAAACACACATACACAGAAAGTGATGTGCTAAGCCAGCATTTTGGCCTCCCAAAGTGCTGGGATTAGAAGTGTGAGCCACTGTACCCAGTCAATAACTAAATTTTTTTTTTTTTCTTTTTTTGAGGGAGAGTCTTGCTTTGTTGTCCAGGCTGGAGCATAATGGTGTGATCTCAGGTCACTGCAACCTCTGCCTCCTGGGCTCAAGCCGTCTTTCCACCTCAGCCCCCCAGGTAGCTGGGCCTGCAGGCGTGCACTACCATGGCTAATTTTTGTATTTTTAGTAGAGACGGGGTTTCACCATGTTGCCGAGGCTGATCTGGAACTCTTGGGCTCCAGCCTCTTCACTTTCTTGACAGGGCCTGTTGGAGCACAAAGTTTTTAATTTTGAAGAAATCCAACTTACCTATTTTTTCTTTTGCTGCTTGTGCTTTTGGTGTCATATGTAAGAACTCATTGCCTAATCCAAACTCTCAAAGATGTATGGTTTTCTTCCAAGAGTTCTACCCATTTTTTTTTTTTTTTTTAAGTAGTGTCTCTGTCAACCAGGCTGGAGTGCGGTGGTGTGATCACAGCTTGCTACAGCCTCGACCTCCCTAGCTCAAGCGATCCTCTCACCTCAGCCCCCCAAGTAGCTAGGGCTATAGGCATGCACTACCAAGCCTGGCTAATTTTTGTATTTTTAATAGAGATGGGGTCTCGCCATGTTTCCCAGGCTGGTCTCGAACTCCTGGGCTCAAGCAGTCTGCCCACATCAGCCTCCCAAAGTGCTGGGATTACAGGCGTGAGCCACCGCGCCTGACCAAGAGTTTTACTACTTAACTTTAGGTCTCTGATCTGTTTTTGAGTTAATTTTTATATATGGTGTGACGTGAGACTCTCTGCCCAGACCTCTTCATTTAAGCAAATGCCTTAAATTTGCAGAGCCACTTTCTTCAAAGAAGTAAGTAATAGATAATCTCTTTAAGCTGTATACTTAAATGCTGGGCATTTGCCAAGTGCTTTATCTGTATGTTCCTTTAATCTCCACGGCAACCTTACAAGGGGTTATCATCCCTATTTTGCAGATGAGAAAAATGAGACTTAGAGAGGTTACGTGATTTTCACACTGCTGCTGAGTGGCAGATCATGGATACTTGTGAGTCTGTTAACACTCTAATGCCTGAGTTGATGGTATTTCTGAGGTAGGAGGGAATGGAGAAATTTACATCACACTGCAGGTCTGTAGATTCAGCCCACGTGCCCTGTAGGTACGTGCTATGTCCCCTCTTCACAGTGAGAATTGGTGACTTCCTAAACTGCTTTTAACCTTATTCGTTTGGTTCTCTTTCTTTAGTACTGCCTTCCCCTGACCCTGCCCTTCCCCAAGAGGAAAATACAGGAGAGGAAGGAATGGCTGCTGGTCTCCTCACAGCTGGGCCCCGGGTAAGTAGGAAATTAACTTTGGGAGGCATCCTTATCTTCCCCCCTAATATTAATGGTAGGGTTGGCTTGTTTTTCGTTGTCATTTGTTTGTTTTCTTTCTTTCTTTATTTTTTGAGACTGAGTCTCACTCCAGGCTGGAGTGCAGCGGCATGATCTTGGCTCACTGTATCCTCCACCTCCTGGGTTCAAGCAATTCTCTTGCCTCAGCTTGCGGTTAGCTGGGATTACAGGCACGCACCACCACACCCAGCTACTTTTTTTGTATTTTTAGTAGAGATGGGGTTTCACCATGTTGGCCAGGCTGGTCTCGAGCTCCTGACCTCAAGTGATCTGCCCGCCTCGGCCTACCAAAGTGCTGGGATTACAGGTGTGAGCCACCGCGCCTGGCCTGTTTTATTTTTTTTTTTGAGACAGGGCCTCAGTCTGTCACCTAGGGTGCAGTGCAGTGGTGCAATCACGACTCACTGCAGCCTCGACCTCCTGGGCTCAAGTGATCCTCCCACCTCAGCCTCCCAAGTAGCTGGGACCACAGGCTCGTGCCACCATGCCCAACTAATTTTTTTTTTAAGTTTTGTAGAGTCAGGGTTTTGCCATGTTGCCCAGTCTGGTCTTGAACTCCTGGACTCAAGCCATCCTCCAGCCTTGGCTTCCCAAAGTGCTAGGATTACAGGTGTGGGCCATCCCACCCGATCACCTGCTTGTTGGTTTTGTTTTGTTTTGTTTTTTACAAGTTTTCTGCAATGAACAAAGTAATTCATGTTCACCACAGAAAACCTGGAAAATAGAGAAAACACAGAAAGTTAAAAATCACTCTTAATCCCACAGAAAGATGGCATCTAACATTTTGATTTGTGTCCTTTCCATCATATTCTCTTTTTTCTTTCTTTTTTTTTTTTGGAGTCTTGCTCTGTCGCTCAGACTGGAGTACAGTGACGCAATCTTGGGTCACTGAAACCTCCACCTCCCAGGTTCAAGCGATTCTCCTGCCTCGGCCTCCCAAGTAGCTGGGATTACAGGTGCGCCCTACCACACCTGGCTAATTTTTGTATTTTTAGTCTAGAGATAGGGTTTCACCATGTCGACCAGGCTGACCTGGAACTCCTGACCTCAAGTGATCCACCCGCCTCAGCCTCCCAAAGTGCTAGAACTATAGGCTTGAGCCACGGTGCCCAGCTCATATTCTCAAAGTGGTTTATTCTGCTCTGTCATGTTTCTATCTCACTTAGCAGAATTCGATGAACGTTCTCCCATTTCACTGCATGTTTTACCAAATCATTTCTAATACATTCTTTTTTTTTTTTTCTTAAATAATTTCACCTTACTAGTTTAGATTCAGGGGTATGTGTGCAGGCTTGTTAAATGGTTGTATTCTGTGATGCCAGGGTTTGGGGTACAGATGATACCATCACTCAGGTAGGGAGCATAGTACCCCATAGGTAGTTTTTTAGCTGATGCCCCCTTTTCTCTCTCCTCCCTCTAGTAGTCCCCAGTGGTTTTTGTTCCCATCTTTGTGTCCATATATACTTGGTGTTTAGCTTCCCCACTTATCAATGATAACATGCAGTATTTGGTTTTCTCTTCCTGCATTAATTCACTTAAGGTAATGGACTCCAGATGCATCCATGTCACTGCAAAGGACATGACTTCATTTTTTATGGCTGCATCGTATTCCACATGTATTTCCTATTCCACATGTGGAATTTTCCTTATCTCGACCAGCACTGGTGGGCACCTGGGTTGACTCCATGTCTTGGCTGTTGTGAACAGCACAATGAGGAACACGCGCGTGCATGCGTCTTTTGGTAGAATGACTTCTTTTCCTTTGAGTATTTACACAGTAATGGGATTGCCGGGTCGAATGGTAGCTCTGTTTTAAGTTTTTTGAGAACTATCCAAACTGTTTTTCCGGAGTGACTGAACTAATTTAGTTAACTTTCCCATCAGCAGTTACAACCTTTCCCTTTTCTCTGCAGCCTCACCGGCATCTGTTAATTTTTACTTTTTCATATTAGCCATTATTTCTGGTGTGACAGAATATCTCGTCATGTTTTTAATTTACATTTCTCTGGTGGTTAGTGATGATGAGCATTTTTTCATCTGTTTGTTGGCCACTTGTATGTCTTTTAAGTGTGTCTGCTCATGTCTTTTCCTGCTTTTTAACGTGGTTGGTTTTTGCTTGTTGCTTTAAGTTCTATAGATTCTGGAGAGTAGACCTTTGTCAGATGCAAATTTTTGAATATCTTTTCCCATTCTTTCAGTTGTGTGTGTGTTGAGTCTGTTGATAGTTTGTTTTTTGTTTTGTTTTTTTTTTTTTAGAGACAGAGTGTCACTTTGTCACCCAGTCTGGAGTGCAGTGGCACAATCTCAGCTCACTGCAACTTCCACCCCCCAGGCTCAAGCGATCCTCATGCCTCAGCCTCCTGAGTAGCTGGGATTACCACCAGACCCAGCTAATTTTTGTATTTTTAGTAGAGACCAGGTTTTACCTTTTTGGCTAGGCTGGTCTCGAACTCCTAACCTCAGGTGATCGTCCTGCCTTGGCCTTCCAAAGTGCTAAGATTACAAGTGTGAGCCACCACGCCTGGCCCTAATAATAGTTTTCTTTTGCTGTATAGAAGCTCTTTAGTAAGGTCTCACTTGTCAGTTTTCGTTTTTGTTGCAATTGCTTTTGAAGACTTAAGCCAAGAATTCTTTGCCAGAGCCAAGGTCGAGAAGGGTATTTCCTTGGTTTTCTTGTATGGTTTTTATAGTTGAAGGTTTCACATTTAAATCTTTAATCCATCTTGAGTTAATTTTTGTAGATGGTGAAAGGTAGGGGCCCAGTTTCACTCTTCTACATATGGCTAGCCAGCTATCCCAGCACCATTGATTGAGTAGGGAGTCTTTTTCCCATTGCTTGTTTCTGTCAACTTTGTTGAAGATCAGGTGGTTAGAGGTGTGCGGCTTTATTTCCAGGTTCTCCTTTCTGGGTCCGTGTGTCTGTTTTTGTGCCAGTGCCCTGCTCTCTAACACACTGTTTCTTTCACATAGTCCTATGAGAGTAGGAACTGTCCTTTTTTCTTGACTAGGTAATTAGCTCTTTATTTTCATTTTTAAAATTTGCTCTTGGATTTCCTTGTCAGTTCTGCTCTTTATTCATATATTTTTTCTTTATTAATCTTTTGCTTCTGCTTTTCTCAGGTTTATTTTAAAATTCATTTTCTGGCCGGGCGCAGTGGCTCACGCCTGTAATCCCAGCACTTTGGGAGGTCGAGACAGGCGGATCATGAGGTCAGGAGATCGAGACCATCCTGGCTAACACGGTGAAACCCCGTCTCTACTAAAAATACAAAAAACAAAAAAAATTAGCCGGGCGTGGTGGCGGGCGCCTGTAGTCCCAGCTACACGGGAGGCTGAGGCAGGAGAATGGCGTAAACCCGGGGGGCAGAGCTTGCAGTGAGCCGAAATCGCGCCACTGCACTCCAGCCTGGGCGACAGAGCAAGACTCCATCTCAAAAAAAAAAAAAAAATTCATTTTTTAACTTCTCGAGTTGAATCCTTAACTCCCCTTCTTCCTTCCTTGTTTACGTTGAAAGTTTTTGGCTGTGTATTTATTTTTTTTAGATATTCCAAAATTATGATTTTGATTTCTTTATCTGCCTATGTGGCTGGTGTGTGCTTTATGAGGATGGAGTTTGTGTCTCTTGTCAACACAAAATGCCAGCGCAGTCTGATTGCAGGATATAGCGTTTGATAGCTCTGTCAGCTCAACCTTATTAAATTGTTGCATCTTCCATGTCTTTATTCTTTTTGTTGTTTATTCACTTTGGGCTGTCAATGACTGAGTTACCTTAACATCTCTCAAAATCCTAATATTCTAAATTTCTCTTTGCATTTCCTGCAGCTTTTTCTTTACGTATTATATATTTCTTTGTTATTTGGTTCGTGACATTATATCTTTATAATGGATGTTACTTTCTTGATTATTTTAAAGTTACACAAAGATTTTAAATATTTTTTAGTTTTTTATATTTTTAATAGAGATGGGGTTTCACCATGTTGGCCAGGGTGGTCTCGAACTCCTGACCTCAGGTGATCCACCTGTATAAATATTTCTTCATTTTAAAAGGTGACCCTCTTTGTTCCACTGAAAGAACCTCTCGGTGTGATGAATGGATTGGAAGAGCAGGTAAAATCAGAGGCCCGGAGACTGGTTCCGATATGGAAACTGTTGCTGGTTTGCAAGGCAGTGGTAGGGGAGTGGAAATAAATGGGTGAATTCTCATGATATTAGGAGGAAGAATCAATAGGGATTGATGCTGCACGAAAGGAGAGGATAACACCCAGGTTCCTGGCTTGGCCAACTAGGTGAACAAAGGCCCCATTGCCTGAGCTGGGAACAGACGAGGAACAGCAGGTGAAGATGGGTGTCTCTGTTGCGTTTTGTTGAGTTTGAGGTTCCTGTGAGGCCTGGCCAGGAGACGATTTCTGCGTTAGGTTAATACTGTGTTATCTCCTGATTCGTTTCTTCGCTTTCCATCTGGCTACCCCTGCCCCCACGCCCTGTACCTAGCAGAGGATGCATTACATGGAGTAGGTGCCGCTTTGTTATGTGAACAGCTTCACCTGACCTGCGTGCCTTATAGCTCCTGCCCAGAGTCTCCTAACTCCAGATCCATGTTTTCACCTGTGATAGAACATCTGCACCTGGATTTCCTATGGCCACCTTAAACTCTGTGGGCCCCAAAACAAACTAGTTCCCTTGCTAACATGACCCCTTGTTAGCAAACATGACCCCTTCTTCCCATGTTTCTTCTCTTTGTGATGACACTGTCATCTGTCTGGTCTTCCAAGCAGGAAACATCTTTGATTCATTCTCAACTCTTTTCTCACAAAGTTCATTTCTGGCTTTGCATCTAGTCCCTCTCCTCAAGCAGGATCCTCTCTCAACTTGACACTGACACTGTTGGAGTTCTTAAAACCACCTCTCCATGCCTCCATCTCAAGACACAGTTGCCTTCCAGCAGCTCCCTGTTGCCTGAGGCATGAAAGCATCACATTTATCAAGTGATTCAAGGCTTTTTACATTCTGACCTCAACAACCTTTCTGCCACGCTTCATCCCCCCACCCAAACTGCCTGCCATTTCCTAAACACACAAGGACTGTCTCGCCTCCATGCTTCTGCTCATGGTGCCTCTCCTGCCTTGGATAACCTTCTCTTGCTCCATCCGGAAACCTTCTGCTTCAAGGCCAGCTCAGTAATTGCCTTCACTCTGTGGTCCTTCCTCCCCGCCTTTCTGTTCTCCTGGCAACTAGTCTGTTTCTTTGACTCGTGCTACATTTGATTGTGTGCATACTTGGCTCTCCTGTTGTACTGGGTGATATCTGCGTTCACAGAAATATTTGTTAAATGTTCTGAAAATTCATCTTTCACATTTCTCTGATAATTTGCACCTGACTCTTCACTGTATCAACTCACATTCTAATTTTGCTCTTTCTGTATTATCTCTTCAAGTCCCAAGCACCCATTAATTTTTGCCCAGTTACTTCACACGCACACACACGCACACACACACTTTATTTACACATAAAGTCTACTAGAATTATAAATGTGTGAAGACAAGAGACAGTGGTGTGTGTGAGTGTGTGTATGTGTGTGTATGTCAGATTATCTTAGTGTTAGGCACTGCAGTGCTGGTGATCAATAAAGGCTTTCTCTTTTTTTTGAGATGGAGTCTCGCTGTGTCACACAGGCTGGAGTGCAGTGGCACGATCTTAGCTCACTGCAAGCTCTGCCTCCCGGGTTCAAGCAATTCTCCTGCCTCAGCCTCCTAAGAAGCTGGGACATAACAGGCACCTGCCACCACACCAAACTAATTTTTGTATTTTTATTAGAGACAGGGTTTCACCATATTGGCCAGGCTGGTCTTGAACTCCTAGCCTCAAGTGACCCACCTGCCTCGCCTCCTGGCTTCCCAAGGTGCTGGGATTCCAGGTGTGAGCCACTGCGGCCGGCCACTTTCTTCAACTACCCAGAGACCTGAATCTTTTCGAAGACTTTTCCAGCTCCCCCAAAACCACCAACGTTAACCACCCCATCACCCTAGATCCTAAGGCCACTGGCAAGATGAAATGTGCTTGTTTTTTCAGGGATCCACATTCTTCGGCAGTGTGACAGTAGCTTTTGCACAAGAAGGGTGGAGGTGCCTCGTGTCTACTCCGAGGGAGAGGTACAAGGAGGGGATACCAGAAAAGTCCAGGAACCTTGTCCTACTAGGTAAGGAAATGGTTTAAGATTTCGATTCACTCAATTCTGAAAATCCATGGCACTTGCTTTCCAGTGTGTAGGGCTTTCTGACAGCTGTGATGTACCAGAGCGATGGTGTCTATTCCTCTTGTTCTCTTGGGGAAGGTCTCTGCATGCCCACTTGGCAAATAGGCAGTTTCCCTTTGCTTTCCCCAAGGCTGCACCTCCCCATTCTCTCATTTCCCAGGAGGAATGGGGTAACCCTCAGGTCATTTCCTCTATGTTCAGTAAGTTTCCATCTTCCTAAATCGGGAACTTGTGAGTTTAGCTTTAGCTCCCTGGCTTGACCCCTCCTTGAGGCTGTTTCCTAGCTCCTTCCAGAAATATTTTATACAGCCTTGGCATGGCCGGGTGAGGTGGCTCTCACCTGCAATCCCAGCATTTTGGGAGGTCAAGGTGGAACAGTCACTTGAGACCAGCCTGAGGAACACAGTGAGACCCTGTCTCTCAAATTAAAAGATGTTTAAAAAGACCTTGGCACCATATCTCTTATGTACTGCTGTAGCCCCTGGTGCGGGCACCAAGTAAGTGCTCAATAAGTATTTGCCGTCTGAATGAAATGAACAATCCGACTGGGCTGCTTGCTCTCCCCTGAGTTCTGGGTGGCTGTTCATACTTACTTACAATTTCTAAAGCCTGTTTTTCCTGTTGAATAGGACTTCCAGTTTCCCAGCCTGGCATGAACTCCCAGTTGGAACAAAGGGAAGGCACATGGATGCTGGAGGGCAAAGACGTGCGAAGTCCCTCTCCAGGTATGTGAGCAAGCACTTAGCCAATGGGAGTCTTGGGAGCAAAAGCCCCTTTAAATCACACATGAGCGCATTTGATTATCATAACAATTGTGAGGTAGGCGCTATCACCCCATTCTACAGATGAGGAAATGATGCTGAGAGAGGCTGGCTCACTGGTTCAAAGCTTCACAGCTAGATAGTGGCAAGGCTGGGATTTGAAGCAAGCTCTGTCTGCCTCTAAAACACACTCTTCTCTTCCTCACCTCATCCTTACGGAGGCTCCCAGGGCTGGGAGGTGTTTGGGGGCACGTGTGATGTCCCTGGCCTCCAAAGAGTATCCTTCCTTATTGTTGGGAAGCAAGAGTCATCTTCGTTGGCACATTCCTTGCTTGGGGTCTCCCTCACTGAGGATCCTAGGTGCCAGCTTTACGCATGCCACTGGGTGTCACAGCTCCTGCTGCCACCCTATCTGGCCCCTTAATTCATTCTGCTCCTCCTTTCTTACTGCGTGGCCATGCCAGAATTTTCCAAAGGGCCAATACTAAGAAACTCAGGGAAAACAGAAGGAAAGGAGACCATAGTTTCCACTGCATCTCTCTTACCACCCATGTACAGCAGCTCTCTCCCCTCATCTCTCTCAGCCTCTGCCCTGGTGCCACCTCTGGCAGGGCCTCAGCAGTTTTTCCCTGGGGACCCAGTCACTTTTGATGTTTGAGACTTAAGGCATCAAAGGTACAAATGAATTAAACCAGTTTGAGGTGACAACATTTGACATGTTTCTAAAGATGCAGCCTGGGCCAGGCACGGTGGCTTACGCCTGTAATCCTAGCACTCGGGGAGGCTGAGGCAGGTGGATCACCTGAGGTTAGGAGTTCAAGACCAACCTGGCCAACACGGTGAAACCCCGTCTCAACTAAAAATACAAAAAAATTAGCTGGGCATAGTGGCGGATGCATGTAATGCCAGCTACTCCAGGAGGCTGAGACAGGAGAATCACTTGAACCTGGGAGGCGGAGGTTGCAATGAGCCGAGATCGTGCCATTGCACTCCAGCCTGGGCAACAAGAGTGAAACTCTGTCTTAAAAAATAAAAATAAAAATAAGATGCAACCTGTCTATTTCTTGCTTTATTTCTTGAGTTATAAGTTATTGCTGCTGATAGGGCAATCGGCACAAAGCCCCGGGAGCATTCTTTGCATGATTCCATGGAGCTGCCTCTTCTCCTTCCCATCTTACCATCCTCTAAGCAGCCTGTTGCATGTTACCTCACCCTTGTGGCGTGCCCGGCACCACTCATGCTTGTTGACACTGCCTGTGACAGGGAGCCTCCCTGGCCCTGCTGCCTTCTTCTCCCAAGGCCCCCCTGCCTGGGCATCTCTGTGTTCTATACAGTCTACACAGAGGACTGAAGTCCTCTGTGGAGCTTCAGAAATGGAGAGCAGTATTTAGTGGTGAGGGGAACAACTGCATTTTTCTGGGAAGAGTGTTCATGATAGTCTCAGAGGGGTTCAAGACCCTGAAAAGCTTGCTGTATTAGTTTTTTGGGGCTCTCATAAAAAATAACCACAAACTGGGTGGACTAAAACAATAGCAGTTGATTCGCTCACAGTTCTGGAGGCTAGAGGTCTGAAACCGAGGTGTCAGCGGGGCCGGGCTCCCTCTGCAGGCTCTGGGAAGGATCTTCCCTTGCCTCTTTCAAGTTTCTGGTGGTTGCCAGCAATCTTCGGTGTTCGTTGACTTCTAGCTGCATCACTCCAATCTCTGTCCCTGTCTTCATGTGGCATTCTCCTGTGTCCAGATTTCCTTCATTTTAGGGCATTAATATACCCTAATCCAGTATGGCCTCATTTTAGCTTGATTACATCTACAAAGACTTTGTTTCCAAGCACGGACACATTCTGTACTTTGAGATGGACATGATGTGGGACACTGTTCACCCCAGTACAGTGGTCCCAAAGGTTAAAATCACCACATCATTAGAAACAGGAGTTGGAAAGGGGTATTTCCGCTGAGGAGGTGCTCTGAGGCAGCAGTGTAGGGCAGTAGAAGCAGCTCTGGGTGTGGGTGCCCCTGAGCGGAAAACCACAACCTCTGCCCCTATACACAGCAGGAGTCAACATAGGAGACTTCTGTGAGCAGAGAGGGGTGGGGTTTTCCCCCACGCACCAAGCAAGCAATTAATTTTGTAGCAGACACCGTCTACCTGGAGATAGCATCAGATCCCACGGGTTGAGGGCTCAGTCCCACAAGGTGCCCCCTGCCCCTTCCCACCAGTCTCAAGTGCAGGCCTCCAGAACTACACTAGCTTCAGACTGGGGTGCCCACGACCCCTCTTTGGATTACATTGATTTGTTAGAGAAAGGACACAGAACTTGGGGAAGCACTTATTTTAGAAAAGATGAAGATGAAGAGATGCATGGGACGAGGTGTGGAGAAGGTGCAGGGAGCTTTCATGCCTTCCCTGGACAGACGCCCTGCGGGAGCCTCCTCTGTTCCGCTCTCTGGAAGCTCTCCAAACCCTGCCTGCCTGGGCCTTTGATTCATTGGATAGGCGTGACTGAAGCACGGACAGCATGTTGTAATGAGATTGGACAGAAAGGGCCTGATTGAACACAAGTAGACTAGTGGGGACACCCAGCAGAGCCTTTCTGTGCAGATTCTTCTTGGCCTCGGTGCAACATTCCTTCCTCCAGGGTATGGGGCAGGATCTTCGCTGGAATGAGGGTCGTACAGCCACAGTCAGACTAGAGTCCTGCTTGGGCGGGGGAGGTCAGAGAGAGAGTGAGTCTGTTTCTGAGCCCTAAAGTGCTCTGACGTTTTAACAGAAGACTGTAGCAATGGCGGGGGGCAGTGGCTCACACCTGTAATCCCAGCACTTTGGGAGGCCGAGTTGGGCAGATCTCCTGAGGACAGGAGTTTGAGACCAGCCTGGCCAACATGGGGAAACCCCATCTCTACTAAAAATACAAAAATTAGCTGGGTGTGGTGGCCCAAGCCTATAGTCCCAGCTACTTGGGAGGCTGAGGCACAAGAATCGCTTGAACCCGGGAGGCAGAGACTGCCATGAGCCGAGATCGTGCCACTGCACTCCAGCCTGGGTGACTAAGTGAGACTCTGTCTCAAAAAAAAAAAAAAAAGACTGTAGCAGTGGCTATGGGAGTTATGAGCTAGGAACTGTGGGTGAAATACACACGCACACACACACATATACACGTATATCTTATAATACCTCATTGAGTATGAAAGACATATACTCAAAATCCCTGCTTGCCATGCATTAACTACATGGATTCCAGGCACACCACTGAATTATGTAGTCATGTTTCCATATATGAAAAAGTAGATGATAAAGTCTTTCTTCTTTCACCAATTAACACATATATGAAAAAAGTTGCCTACTGAAGAGTTATGTAAGCTATATGATAGTGAACAGAAGTCGTCGGGCGCAAGTTTCCACTCTGGCCATTAGAGGAGCTCAACATGGCCTCTGCTCTAACTCACAGCATGTCCTGGGCATCGCTGTGCCTCTGAGAGCTGGGTTTGGGCCCTGGGTTATTCTACCCTACCCCTCCCAAGTGGCAGACCCAGGAGTTGAAAGTGGCATTCTCCCTGCTGCTCATTTTAGAGACTTCTGTGGTGGGTGTTAACACTTTCCCAGACCCTGCTGGCCAGTTGTACTAATTCTGATTCATTGAATCGTTCATCAATCAGCAAATGTGCATTAAGCATTTGGTATGTACCTGGCATCATTTTAGCTGCCATGGGTAAAATGTATCCCCTTTGTTGAGCGGGGGATGAGGACATAGTCTCTGCTTACATCTTCGTGAAGAACATAAACTGAGCAAACAATAACTAATCTACTTTTTATGGTGATGAGTTGTGTGAAGAAAATAAAGCAATACAAGGGATTAGTGACTGGGGCACAAGGCTGAGTTGGGAATAGAGGGGAGGGAGCTGTTGGAGAGCTGATGAAGAGGAAAGACTCTTTGGAGATGACAATGGAGCCGAGATCTGAAGGAAGGGGATGAGCCAGCTGTGTGGAGGAGACCTAGGAGAGGAACATTCTGGGCCACAGCGTATGTTGAGACCTTGATGTGGGAATGAGCTTGCTTAAGGATTAGAAAACCTGTGTGGCCAGAGCTTAGTAAACACGAGGAAGAGTGGTGTGCGGGGGACAGATTGTGCGGGGGCACTGAAACCATGGTAAGGCGTTTGGATTTTAGTCACCTAAGAAAATAAGCTATTAAAGAGTTTTGACGCAGGCAAGGGATGAGATTTATGTTTTAAAAGAATTCAGCATTTGGCAAGTGACACTGGTGAAAAAGAATTCAGTGTATGTGTGAAGAATGGACATTCGGGGTCAGGCATGGGAGCGGGGAGGTGAGTTAGGAGGCGGCTCTTGCAGACATGGGAATGAGGTGATGGTGGCCTGTAAGAGAGGGGTCAGGACATATTTTGGTGTTAAAGCCAACAGGACTTGCTGGTGGATTGGATGTGAGATGTAGAGGAGGAGGCATTAAGGATGACCCTAGGTTTTGGCCTGATCAGTTGGGTAAGTAGGAAGATTAACAAAGGTGCTGGGTTAAAAGGGAGATGAGTAGCTCTGTTTGGGGTGTGTCAGGCCTGAGATGTCATCAGTCTTCTACTGGAGCCAGCACTCGAGAGAGGTGAGCTGAGGGACAGGCCGTTTGTGAGCATCACATGGTCCTCTGAATTGCCCCTTCTTTCCTTGGCTTTTTTTCTTGTCACTCTTCCTCTTCTTTTGATTTTTTTTTTTTAAACGCAAAGAGATGGTCTGCTTTTAAAAACTGTCAAACCCATAGATGATCGGACTCCCAAGTTACACGGAGACGCGCTCAGCCTGCAATGGGGGCCTCTGTGCTCTTGGTTGACTGGGGGCATTGGTGTGCACTTGCAGTTCTGAGGGAAGCCTACTTCATGCTTTAGGATGGTTTATAAGGAGAAGGTCCAGAGTAACAACCACGCAGATAGCACTTACTGTGTCTCAGCTACCATTCTGGGTCCTTTATGTGTCTTAACTCATTTAATCCTCACAGTGATTGTATGAGGGAGCTGCTTTCACAGGTGATAAATCCAAGGTTTTAAAAGATTACACAGTTTGCCCAAAATCACAGAGCACGTAAGAGGTGGAACCCAGATTTGAACCCAGGCAGTCTGGTTGAAGACTGTGTATAGAAATTCAAGGTCAGGTGTGGTGGCTCACACCTGTAATCTCAGCACTTTGGGAGGCCGAGGTGGGTGGATCACCTGAGGTCAGGAGTTCGAGATCAGCCTGACCAACATATTGAAACCCTGTCTCTACTAAAAATGCAAAATTAGCCGGGCATGGTGGCGCATGCTTGTAATCCCAGCTACTTGGGAGGCTGAGGCAGGAGAATTGCTTGAACCCAGGAGGTGGGGGTTGCAGTGAGCTGAGATCACACCATTGCACTCCATCCTGGGCAACAAGAGCGAAACTCCACATCAGGCTGGGCGTGGTGGCTCATGCCTGTAATCCCAGCACTTTGGGAGGCTGAGGTGAGTGGATCACCTGAGGTCAGGAGTTCAAGATCAGCCTGGCCAACGTGGTGAAACCCTGTCTCTACTAAAAATACAAAATTAGCCGGGCATGGTGGTGCATGCCTGTAATCCCAGCTGCTTGGGAGGCTGTGGCAGGAGAATCGCTTGAACTTGGGAGGCAGAGGCTGCAGTGAGCCAAGATCACACCATTGCATTCCGGCCTGGGCAACAAGAGCGAAACTCCATCTCAAAAAATAAAAATAAAAGGTATGGTAAAAATACAGTATAAAAGATAAAAAATAGTACACCTGGATAGGGCACTTACCATGAGTGGAGCTTGCAGGACTCTGGGTGAGTGAGTGAGTGAGTGGTAGGTGGATGTGAAGGCTGAGGGCATTGCTGTACATGGACTTTAGAAATACTGTGCACTAAGGCTACACTAAGTTTACTTTACACATTTTTCTTTGGGAGGCTGAGGTGGGAGGATCGCTTGAGCCCAGGAGTTTGAGACCAGCCCAGACAACTTGGCAAAACCCTATCTCAACAAAAAATACAAAAACTAGCTGGATGTGGTAGCACAGGCCTGTAGTACCAGCTGCTCAGAGGCTGAGGTGGGAGGATCACTTGAGCCCAGGGGGTCGAGGCTGCAGTGAGCCATGATCATGCCACTGTGCTCCAGCCTGGGCGACAGTGAGATCCTGTCTCAAAATGTGTGTGTGTGTGTGTGTGTGTGTGTGTGTGTAGTACTATTTTTATTTTTAAACTCTTGTTAAAAACTAAGAAACTCACACATTAGCCCAGACCTGATGGAATCATGCATATCACTGTCTACACCTCCGTATCTTGTCCAACTGGAAGATCTTCAGGGGCAGTAACAAGCATGGAGCTGTCATCTCTAAGATAACAGTACCTTCTGGAAAACCTCCTGAAGGACCTGCCTGAGGCAGTTTTACAGATACCTTTTTTTTTTTTTAGTGGAAGGAGTACAGTGTAAAATAACTATTAAAAGCATAGTATAGGCTGGGTGTGGTGGCTCACACCTTTAATCCCCAGCACTTTGGAAGGCCGAGGCGGGAGGGTCACTTGAGTCCAGGAGTTCGAGACCAGCCTGGCCAATGTGGGGAGACCCTGTCTCTCCAAAATATGAAAATTACCCAGGGATGGTGGTGTGCTCCTGTAGTTCCAGCTATTCAGGAGACTGAGGTGGCAGGATCGCTTGAGCCCAGGAGGCTGAGGCTGCAGTGAGCTGTGACTATGCCACCGCCCTCCAGCCTGAGTGAGACTCTGTCTCAATTAAAAGTATATATTAAGTATAGTAAATATGTAAACTGGTAATGTAGTTGTTTATTATTATGTACAGTGCATAATTGTATGTGCTATACTTTCATATGACTGGCAATGCAGTAGATTTTTTTACACTAGCATCACCACAAACGTGAGTAATGCGTTGCACTACAACATTATGATGGCTTTGAATTCAGTAGGTAGTAGGCTCCATTACACTCTTATGAAAGGAGGTGAGTCATCAAACCTGTGTGTGTAAGAGCTTGGCCAGACTCCTTCAGCCTTTGGTTTTCCTTCCACCAAGGGCACACAACGGCTTTTCTCACTTTTTTTTTTCAGGCTGGAAGATTGTATCTGAATCACCACTACAGCAAGCCCTTTCTGAAGAATCATTCCAAGACCCACATGTAGAGATGCCCCCTGGGGATTCAGACCACAGGACCAGTGAGCTTGAGAAGAGCTTCAGCCTGAGACCAGTCCTCTCTCCGCAACAGAGAGCGCCCGTGGAAGCGAGACCTCGCAAACGTGAGACGCACACCAAGCGCTTCAAGAACTCGGAAATCACAAAACCTCACAGAGCGAAACCGTATGCATGTAATGAATGTGGCAAAGCCTTCAGTTACTGTTCTTCCCTTTCTCAGCATCAGAAGAGCCACACTGGAGAGAAGCCCTATGAGTGCAATGAGTGTGGGAAGGCCTTCAGCCAGAGCTCCTCTCTCATTCAGCACCAGAGGATTCACACTGGAGAGAAACCTTACAAGTGCAGTGAATGTGGAAGAGCCTTCAGCCAGAACGCCAACCTCACCAAACACCAGCGAACTCACACCGGAGAAAAGCCCTACAGATGCAGCGAGTGTGAGAAAGCCTTCAGTGACTGCTCAGCTCTTGTTCAGCATCAGAGAATTCATACCGGAGAGAAGCCCTACGAATGCAGCGACTGTGGGAAGGCCTTCCGTCACAGCGCAAACCTCACGAACCACCAGAGGACTCACACTGGGGAGAAGCCCTACAAGTGCAGCGAGTGTGGGAAGGCCTTCAGTTACTGCGCAGCGTTCATTCAGCACCAGAGGATTCACACTGGGGAGAAGCCCTACAGATGTGCTGCGTGTGGGAAGGCCTTCAGCCAGAGTGCAAACCTCACAAACCATCAGAGGACTCACACCGGGGAGAAACCCTACAAGTGCAGCGAGTGTGGGAAGGCCTTCAGCCAGAGTACGAATCTCATAATCCACCAAAAGACCCACACCGGGGAGAAGCCATATAAATGTAACGAATGTGGGAAATTCTTCAGTGAGAGCTCAGCCCTCATTCGACATCACATAATCCACACCGGAGAAAAACCTTATGAGTGTAACGAGTGTGGTAAAGCGTTTAACCAGAGCTCATCCCTTAGTCAGCATCAGAGAATCCACACAGGCGTGAAACCCTATGAATGCAGCGAGTGTGGGAAGGCCTTCCGGTGCAGCTCTGCCTTCATCAGACATCAGAGACTCCACGCCGGAGAGTAACCAGGAACATGGTGGAAGTGGAGAGTCCTGGACATGCCGACTCAGGACAGATGGGTGAGGATCTGAGAAATGCTAAAGGCTCGAAAGCATCTGAAGCCATCTAACTTAGAGTCTGCAGCCCAGAGCCACATGCAATTCAGTAAATAGCCACTATTTCACATGCTGTGTGTGGACGCTCAGCTCTATAACACCTTTCTGCAAGCATCAAAAGATCCAGGGCTCCATTCAGTTGCAGGTTTGCCTTTATTCAGACAGTGGGCCAGAGCACTTTATTTGGTAAGCATTCCAGAAACCTGAGTTTATTCGGAGTAAGTGACCAAATCAATGAGTAAAGAACTTGGCTGCTACATCAAAGCCAAGTCTTTGGGTAATGCTGGCAGTTTCTCCTGGAAGTAATGAGAAATGTTGTGAAGGAACTCAGAGCATTGGCCAGAAATGATTGAAAAACCATCAAATTTGGGGCAAGGGGTGTAAATACAAATACAAGTGAGAAAAGGGATTCTAGAGCCAACTATGAAATACCAGAATCTCCTTGAGGTGGGAACATTCCTTGATGTTCCAAAACTCAGAAAAGCACAGCCAGGCCCAGCCTTTGTAGAGCTTGTTACTGTTAGAAAGAGCCCACCCAGGCAGATCACAAGGTCCGGAGTTTGAGACCAGCCTGACCAACATGGTGAAACCCCATCTCCACTAAAAATACAAAAACTTGTGGGGTGCGGTGGCACGTGCCTGTAATCCCAGCTACTCAGGAGGCTGAAGCAGGAGAATCACTTGAACCCAGGAGGCAGAGGTTGCAGTGGGCCAAGATTGCAACACTGCACTCCAGCCTGGGCAAGAGCAAGACTGCATCTCAACAAAAAAGAGCCCACCCAGAGGTTACTCGTGTTGAGGGTAGAGTGTGCTGCTAATGAATTGGGAGGCACATCCCTTTCCATGGAGAATAGGAAGCACCCAGAATGGGGAAGTGTGTGACAGCCATGCTGGACTCAGAGGCAGGTGAGTCATAAACTGCCCCCGGCTCCTCACTCTCCTTTCTCCCTCATGGAGAACAGTAGTGCTCCCCTTCTATTACAGATCCAGACTTTTGCCTTTGGCCTGCTTACTGTCTTATTTACTGTTTCCTTGGTGACTTGGTGCAGTCCCTTCTAGGACACTGGAACGCTTTTGTGCCAGCCCTCATTCTCGCCTAGGCTGGAGTGCAGTGGTATAACCATAGCTTGCTGAAGTCTCCACTTCCGCACCCTACCACCTCAGCATCACAAGTAGCCAGGCACACAAGCCACCACACCCAGCTAGCTTTTTGGAGAAAGTGTCTGGCTATGTTGCCCAGGCTGGTCTTAATTCCTGACCTCAAGGAATGCTCCTGCCGCAGCCTCCCAAAGTTCTGGGATTACAGGCAAAAGCCACTGTATCCGAAATAGAACCCTCTCCCTAACTCAGGGGGTCCAGGTAGTCCTTTCCACTTAAGGTAGTTCTCCAACCTGGGGTGACATAAAAGCACTGACCTAGAGACCACTGGCGAAAACTAATGTGCAAACAAATGAGTCATAAAGGGGAAATCAATTTCTCTGGGCCACCATTTCCCTTTACTCCAGTACCCAGAATCCTCTCCCAGGTCGTGCTTCAAAGTTCATCTTAAAACAAAAGTGATGAGCACAGGCTCTAGAAAGTTGATCAGAAGGAACAACTGTGGGAAGATGAGACTTGAGACAAGGTGAGACAGCAAATACTGTAAGCCACCTGAGTTCAGAGAAAAGGTTGGAATAACAGTTTACAGTTAAACAGATGATGTGAACCTCACTTTCACAGAACCAAAGGATTAGTCCAGGACTAATCCTTAGTCCAGGAGAGTGGTCAGGTTTATTTGTTGTATCACTGGTTCTGAGCCCTGGCTGTGCACTGGAATGGCTAGCAAAACGGGTCCTGGGCCCCCAACCCACTGTAACTTCAGTTGGTCAGGAATGGACAGCTACACTCCCCATGTGTTCAGGTTTTATGTTAGAGCATTTCTTAGGAAAGGCTTCACTATAGTCTATAAAAAGTGTTTCCTGGCCAGGCATGGTGGCTCACGCCTGTAATCCCAACGCTTTGGGAGGCCAAAGGCAGGCAGATCGAGGTCAGGAGTTCGAGACCGGCCTGACCAATATGGCCAAACCTTGTTTTTACTAAAAATAAAAATTAGCCGGGCGTGGTAGCATGTGTCTGTAATCTCAGCTACTGAGGAGGCTGAGGCTGGAGAACTGCTTGAACATGGAAGGCAGGGGTTGTGGTGAACCAAGATCGCGCCATTGCACTCCAGCCTGGGCAACAAGAGCGGAAACTCCATCTCCAAAAAGAAAAAAAGCTTCCTTTCTGAGGCAGCCCAGCCCATACAGGGCAGTTTTGTTACCCACTACAAGGTGCTTGTTACTTCTCCACAGGCTCTGCCACCTTGACCCCACTGACTACCCTACAAAGGAGCTAGCTCCCTCAAGGAAGACGCCACACCAAAAAATCCACCAGTTGTCAAATGATCCTTTATTGAAATACTTTCCTTTGTGCTTAACTCTGTGGGAAAGGAAAAAAAGTCTATCAGTAAAAGGGAAAGTTTAAAAGGATTATCCCAACCCCACCAGTGACCATTTCCTAAACTTCCCAGCTTATCTCTGTGAATACATTGGGTGGCCCCCCTTTTGCCCCTATTGTAACAATGGAAAATGAAGCAAAAAAGTCACTTACGGCTGGGCATTCCACAGCGCCACTGTTGATGTCATCTATGATGTCATGAGGGTGGCGGCCATCAACATTACAGCCCACAGACTGGGCAGTCCCCAGGATCTCTTTAATGGTTCCTTTAGTAAAGAAATGGTGACACTGGAGGTGCTGGCTCAGTCCCTCATAATCCTCATACTGGGGAATACTCAAGGGGTTCATAGCAGGCAATGGAAAGAATGAGGTTCCTGGCCGGGCGCGGTGGCTCACGCCTGTAATCCCAGCACTTTGGGAGGCCGAGGCGGGCGGATCACAAGGTCAGGAGATCGAGACCATGGTGAAACCCCGTCTCTACTAAAAATACAAAAAATGAGCTGGGCGCGGTGGCGGGCGCCTGTAGTTCCAGCTATTCGGGAGGCTGAGGCAGGAGAATGGCGTGAACCCAGGAGGCGGAGCTTGCAGTGAGCCAGGATCGCGCCACTGCACTCCAGCTTGGGCGACAGAGCGAGACTCCGTCTCAAAAAAAAAAAAAAAAAAGAATGAGGTTCCTGCTCCCCTAATAGAGTGCAGAGCTCCATCTGGTCCCATGACCCTGAATGCAAAGCTTCCATGGGTCCTTGATGCCCAGATTAAACACATCCAATTTAAGAGCCATCCATTCTTTCAGTCTCAAAACTGCACCCCATCTTGGGTCTCACTGAGCACCCTTTAAGTGGGAAGAATGTCATCACTCAGTGAAAACACAACTACAGTTACAGCGGTTACATGTTGTCCTGCTCTTACCAGAGAGTTCTCTGGCTAAGGATCGATGCCGCATCTGTCGAGCAATGTTGATGATCTCATCAAAAGTGATGTTCCCACTGTGTTTAACTGCAGAAGAGAAAACAGCAAAAGCTCTGTTACAGTCTGAAGCCAAAGCAGATCATGTGTCCTTCATTTCATTTCTAGGCTGTTCCCATGCTTTCGGCACAGAGTCATCCACATGAAGAACAACCCTGTTTCCTAAGCTGGGGTTTACTATCAGCTCACCACTGGATTGCACCAGCCAACAGAGACCTGGTCAGGTGCAGTGGCGGGTGGCTGAGGGCAAAACCAAGCCTTCCCAAATCTGACATGGCAGAAACTGTTTTAGAGATGAGAAATGACAAGCTTAAATTGCCAGGGACAGTTAAACTGCCCAGTACCTGCCGGCTCTATGTGCTCTCCTGATTATAGGTCACTGTTGCTGACGTCTTCCTCCCACATGCACTGACTGGGGCCTGCCCCACACAGGGACTACGTGGGCACTTTTTTTTTTTTTTGAGACAGTGTCTCACTGTCACCCAGGCTGTAGTGCAGTGGCACGAATCTGGCTCCACCTCTCGGGTTCGAGTGATTCTCCTGCCTCAGGCATCAGAGTAGCCAGGACTACAGGCGAGCACCACCAGGATAATTTTCGTATTTTTTGGTGGAGATGGGGGTTTCACCATGTTGGCCAGGCTGGTCTCAAACTCCTGACCTCAAGTGATCCGCCTGCCTCAGTCTCCCAGAGTGCTGGGATTACACAGGTGTGAGCCACCCAGCATATATGGCACTTTTTGATACTACCTGGCTCTAGCAGCCTTAACCGTATCAACACCCAATAGCCATGTCAACCCCAGGTTTCCTTCAAGGGAAAACAGCCATATATATCAAACATCTCACAAACCATTACCAAAACCAAACTAGGGAAAAGACAACTCACTGTTTTTCTGTTTCTTTCTGTCTCTTGGTGGTTCCTTGAGGGCTTTGATGATCAGGGCAGAGGCAGAAGGCACCACCTCAATCTGCAGAGGAGATTCTTGAGTTAATACTCCACCTCCAATGAATACTGCTTTTGAAAGCATGCTGACTTTCAAAAATCATGGCCACACACTGTCCAAGTCTCTGCCCTAGGTCCATACTCTTGACAAAGCCTCCCCAACAAGGTAAAATCACTCAGCTCACCAATGGTGGCAGAAATACTCTATTCAGGAATCCCAGAGGGTTGCTACCTCTGTCCCCCCACCCTCCAATCCCAAAACCAAGCACAAGTAAATACCTGGGCCTGTCTGTTCTGAATGGTCAGTTTCACTGTAATCCTCAGGCCCTTCCAGTCACCCGTTGCCTTGGCAATGTCATCACCAACCTTTTTCGGAGACTGGAAATAAAGGAATGTAATCAACATGGTGTCCAGATGTGAACTACAGCCTTGAAACCTGCCCACCACTTCTCACTTGGCAACATCTCAAGTACTTAAGGGCACCTTCCCACCTTCAGCACAGCTATCACCATAGCATAAACTGGGGGTTGGGGTTGTCTTGTCCAGGACTGTAAACTGCAGACTTGGCCACAATGGAATCTAGACCCCTCCTAAGCGCCTATGTGCTTAAGGAGGGGGATTTTCAGCCCTGCTCACATTAGAATCACCTAAGGAGCTTTCAAAATATTAGGTTCCCATGTCAGACCACCCACGTCCATATGCCTGGATGGGTGTCTGATTATTTGCTAAGTGTCCCTTAAGTGCCAGCTGAGCTAAGGACCAAGGAAGAATAGTTAAGATACAGGTTAAGAAAGACCAATGGGGAAGAGCATTTGGGACAGAGGACCGCTGTGCAAGGATTACATAAAGGCCTAATGAAATTCAGGGAAATCCAAGAGTACAGAATAACGGGGAAGCCAGCAGTTGCTCAGCAGGCATAAGGCACAGCCTGCCACATTAACTGCTAAGTTTACATCCACAACACAGCTGGTAACACTCAATGGATCTTCACCCACACCCCATTTAATCTTCCCAACAATGCCATGCCCACTTCCCTGACGAGGAAATACAGATATTGGCTGCCCAATGTCACTAAGCCACTCCTAACTTCAAAACCCCTTGGGCCCACCCCTCAGGTGCCCCAAAGCAGCAGTGGAGACACATGGAGCTAATCACAATTTAAAGGCACCAGGTTCGATGTTTCACGCACGACCTTCCTAAGGTAACTAGTACTAGTCAGTGGCTCAGGCCTAGTGGAGGATGATAATCCAAGCCACGAGGGCACCTCTGGCACAGTCGTGACTCCACGAGCCGGCGCTTAACTCTGCTCTGTAAGTGAAAACATGCCCCTTGGCGGGGATGACGTACCAGACCCAGGGGGCCGATCTTGGGGGCCAGCGCAGAAGTCGCACCGACTTCACCTCCGGTGCACCTCAGGTATACTGGAGGAAAAGAAGGGTTAGTGTCGCTGCAGAGGGAGCCCCCGAGCCACAGCCCTCTCAGCATCTTTCCGGGGCTGGACACACCACCCTCTGCCTCTTCTCCAAACAGCACCGAGAGTGAGGCCGGCCACCCGCTCCCCCCTCGTGCGTGGGCAGCTCCGAACCTTACACCGGGGAGGCGTGGAGAGAGCCCCGTCGCCC